CAACGTGCATTATCGTAAGAAGTGACATCCCTCGATAGTTACAAGTAGGAAAACTTTCACAATTATAGTATTCACTTAGAAGCGGAAAAGAACGCACACCCTGTAATAAATGTCTAATCGACTTCATGTCGATTATTTAATAACTGTTATTAATGGTACTAGGGTTAAGACATTGAAGTATCTAATACTACACGCAGTCCGTCACAAAGAGTGTTCGGTTACATTGAAATGAATTTTATTGAATTCCATAATAATAAAACATATTATATCATTGTTAGCATTTAGTAATTCTGTATTATTAGTCGAAATTTTAAGAAGCAACAGGTCTAAAAAAAGTGCGCGATAAATTCTTGCAAACATTGCAATTTAAATGTATTCATACAAATCATACGTTGCATTAGAATTAAATAAGCTCGTGTGATTCTCAGCCCGAGATTACATGTTATACGGGATCTATGTGTTAGATAAATAAAATTTGTCTCAATCAATCACGTTTAGTATTCAATGTACAATTTAAACATTAGTTTATAGAATTTGTTAATTGCAAAATCTATTTCATAAACTATTATACTGCTGTCTTTTAAATTAAATTCAATTTTTGCTGATCTAATTTTAATTTATATATAATTATATTTTATATATACATATATGTATAGCCGAACATGTAATAAGGATATTTTAAAAAAGACACTTTATCGCAATTTTTTAAAGCTACTTTTTTAGATGTTTTACATATAAAAAAGACTGACAAACAAAATTGATAAATTGACTCTAAAGAAGAAATTTCAAAAATGCAAATGTTTTCTTTAAATTTTTGTATGTATACAATTTGTGGTATATGGCGACCGATCGAATGGTCATCAAATGGTGCCAATTTTCTGTACAATGTATTTACTTATATTATATTATTCTTGGAATACTTTTTTATGTTAACTCAATTCCTGGATTTTCTATTTGTTATTGATAATATCGATGATTTCATTGCTAATTCTATAATATTCGTGAGTGTTGCTGCTATGATATGTAAAGCGACTGTCGTCGTAATACGTCGCAATGCGATTATTAGCTTGATACAAATATTGTTGAAGGGTCCATGTAAACCTCAAGATGAGGACGAAATAGCAATACAAACAAAATTTGAAAATTTCGTCAGGTAGGTATCACACATTATGAGGATAATCTTAAGGTAAAGCTTTAATGAAATTGCATAGATAATATCTACACAATAATTTAATTCGTGTACGATTGGTACATTATTTCTTCTTTCGAATTTAATCAGCATTGATAAAAATTACCATTTAAAAATTTTCTGCGACCTTTCGCTGAAAATTGTTGATTTTACATTTCAATGCTATCTTTATCTATTTAATATTTTAAATATTAATATTTTAATTTTTTGCATTTTACTTAAACTATTTAATATTTCTTGTGAATATTATTTTGCAGAAGTATACTTCCATATTTTGCTTATACAAGCTCGCAATTAAATACACACACACA